TCATTTTACTTTGTTTGTACCCTGCACCCTAACACCCTCAAAAGAAAAGTCCGAAGGGTGAAAATGAGGATGAAAAATGAAGAAGGAAGTGCAGGTGCGCTGAAAAGCGAACGTGGTAGACTCTTTACCAAAACTGCAAAACTGTGAAAGAAAGAAGAATGTAGTAAAAGAAAGAAGATGTTTATGTCAACATTTTTTTATTTTTTCTCCCTCTGCCTATTGGTTTTCCTTTTCTGCTCATCTCTTCCTTGTGTTTAGCACCTCTTCCTTCACTCTGCCTCTTTCCCATAGCGTGCAAGTGGGCTGTTATGGCATACGGGGATGGGGGCAGCTCGCGCTCCACTTCATCAACGTGGCGAGCCTTGTACGTTAGAGGCACAGTGGAGGAGGCGTTGAGAAGATTGAGAAACTGAATGATTTCAATGTGTCTTTGTTTTTTATTTTTATCCTTTGATTCAATGTAATTTTGTTTGTAAAACACTGAAAGAAATAATAATATTGTGAAACAAAGAATACGAGGACACTGTTTTGTGTCATTCTGGTTTGTCTGCCTGTTTGCCTGTATGTCCTTTCATTTTTCTTTTCTTCGCTAATCTTATTTCTTCTTCTACTTCACGTGTTTACGCTCTTAGTCAATAGTTCTGTGACAATATATATATAATTTATAAATATAAAACCGTACCTCCCTCTTGCTTCATTTCCTTTGCTGCCTCATCTGTGGAGTATTATCTCGTGCATCTGCATTCTTGGTTCATTTCCTCTTCAAGAGGACATAGACATTTGTGGAGTTTTTGAACGCTGCATTGGCAGCAGCCTGGTAATTGTACAATGGCAGTTCATTGAAAAAACAAAAACAAAAAAAAACAGCACCCCCTAATACCCCCTCACCCCCCATAATACCCGTTCCCAACATCGCACAATACCCCCTCACCCCCCGAATACCCCTAACCCCGAAATACCCCCTCACCCACCCATTATCCCATGACCCCCCCCCTATTCCCACTCCCAAACCACACAAACGGAGCAGGCCCCCACATAGCCCCCACCGTGCACGCCCCAGCCCTGTGTGCGCGTTTATTTTTTTCCTGTGCGCTGCCACGCGGCGCGTTTAAACGCATTTGAACGCCTGCGTGGGGGTATTGAACGTGCACGTATGTACGCGAACGCACGTACTTAGTGTTCATACAGTAACACGGCTGTATGGCAGAAGTGAAAAATGTGTATCCTGTGTCGGAAGCTGGCACGTCAGGATGTGTCTGTGTCCAAAACCCAACCTTGCAGGGTATTAAAGTGATGGGGTATTAAAGTGTATCCTGTGTCGGCAGCTAGCACGTCAGGACATCCACCAGACGTCCAGTCATCCGGACATCCACCGTCCAGTCATCCGGACATCCATAGGGTATTAAAGTGTATCCTGTGTCGGCAGCTGGCACGTCAGGATGTGTCTGTGTGTCCAAAACCTAACCTTGCAGAGTGTGGAAAACAGCTGAACGGCAGAAATGAAAAATGTGTCGAATTGCTGCCACGATGCATTTTGCAGCCAAAACGTTTTTTTTTTTTTTTTAATATTTTTCCTAGAAAGATTACAACAAAATCTATGGACTCTGTAATTTTCATATTTTTTCTTATATTCTTCTGAGCTAAAAAAATCATGGAAGATGTAGTAGTTTTCCCTTGGCCGACACATGGCATAGTGGCGAAAATGGAAAAAGTGTCGAATTCGCGCGGTGATGGTTTAACGGTCGAAATGATTTTCTCATTTTTGAAAATATTTTTCCTGAAAATATAAAAACGAAATCGGTTGGCCCTGCGTTTGTCATATTTTTTCACGCATTCTTCTAAACGCGAAATCAGTGAAATTGCAATACTTTTATGGCACATGGAAAAATGGCAAAAATGGTGAATGCGCCGAAACAAAGCGGCAATTACTTCACGGTCAAAATGAGTTTAAGATTTTTTTCGATATTTTTCCTAAGGAGATCACAACCTGATTTACAGGATCGCAAGTTTTCAGATTTCGGTGTGCATTATTCTGAGCACGAGAAGTCGTCAAAGTTGCCACATAGAACTGTCGTTTTTGCTCACTATCGCCCATCTCTCTATAATACCCAAGTCCCTGCCCCTAGGCCAGATTCAGGTCCAGGACACAGGCCCATGCCCCTTTTTTTGTCGAGTTTTTAGGAACCTCGATGTCGAGGCCCAAGCCCAAGATTCAGGCGCAAGGCCCCGTTTCAAGCCGTAACCTTTATTTTTTTTTCGAAAATGCACAAGCCCAGGCCTCTTTTTTTCCCTCAAAAAGTGTCTCAGTTTTGTTAGGATGGTTGCAATGGCCTCATGCAAGATAGTGTTAAGCATTTACCAAACTGTCGAGCAATTGAATAACATGCACATAGGTAAGAGTGGGATAAAAAATAACCATTATGAAGAACACACGACTAGACAATCATAGGATCAGACATAGTACATCATAACATCAACACACAAACAATCAACCACCGACACATGGATACCCCTGAAACACGACTGATAGCTTAAACCACCACTACTTCCTAAAGTTGTGCCCGTAACAAGCTAGGATTTTAGGAAATGCACCGGCCACTACAGGAGCGCACAAATTCATCATCCTAGAAACGTTTGTACTCTTTTTTATCCTGTGGCCTATAGCTGGGCCAAGTACTGGTGGTTTAATGATTAAGAAATGAAAACAAAGCCATAAAGCTCGAACCAAAATGGGTGTTGTGCCCGCAGTTGTAGAAACCATGTCGAGCACTGGCGTAGACCTTACTATAGTTTCATCCGCTGGCTAGACCCGGAATCGTTAGGGGTCAAGTTACGGCGGAGGTGACTCCGAATGTGTCGTGGACGACTAAATATAGAAAGAACAATCAAGTATGAAGCGACTGAGTAAAGAAACCAAGTAGAGTACCACCTGAAAAAAGAAAAAGAAAAAGAGTAAGAAATTTCCCCAAGGTCCCAACAGTTCCAAGACTCCGATATCAATTGGACCAATCAAGACCATACCCGGTACCTTCAGCCCATTCAGCCAAACCCAGTGCCCTTTTAACTACATGGAAACCTCCAGGCCCAGGCCCATGCCTTTTGTTTTTTTTATGTCTTGGAAATCAGGAGGCCCAGGCTCAGGCGCAGATCGGATTCAAGTGCAAGGCCCAGACTCAGACCCAGACTTAGATGCCATTTTATTTTATTTTTTTGGAAATGCACATGCCCAGGCCCTGAGCAAGATTTAGGCGCGTGACACAGGTCGAGGCCCATACCCAAGATTTAGGCTCAGACGGTTTTTTTTTTTTTTTTTTTTTTTTTTTTTTTTTTTTCCGAAAGGCCCAGGCCCAACCTTGGGCCCACGATTCAGCCCATAACTCTCTATGAGACGATACTCTACGGTACTGTACTCGGCGACACTCTACTTCACGATACTCTTCTCTACAATACTCTACTCTTCTCTACTCTAATTTGTGCTACTCTACTTTTCGCTACCTTGCTCCACTATACTCTACTCTATTCTACTCTCCTCTACTCTACTCTACTTTCACTGCTGAAAATCGATTTTTTTTTTCTTTTCTTGGATTTTGTTTTCCCGCTATTTCTGTTGTGGAAAATCGCAATAGCGCAACACCTGAAATTTTCGTTTTCGTTTTTTCTTCTGAAAATTTGAATTGTTGGAAATCAGGAATATTTTTTTTGAAAATTTTGATTTCCTCTTGCAATTTCCCGTTATTTGGAAATCCGAAATATTTTTTTAATTTTCGAAATTCGTTTTTCGAGATTTGAAAACGGTACGGGAAATCCCTCTTGCAGTTATCATTTTCCAAACTGCGCGTACTCTCATCTGAGTAATTCCGAATATTTTTCTGTATTTTATTTTCGGAATTCTTTTATCGGATAATCATTTGCAGTCTGAAAGCTCGTTTTTTTTTTTCTCATTGGTAATTTCGCACTTCAGGGGGAATTGGGAGGCCTACTGAACTTGCAAACGAGTATTTTTTTTCTCTCGAATTTTTTTTGCAAAGTTCAAACTTTTCTTTTTGATTAGTGGCTCCTTATCTGGGCGATTTATCCCACCCACCTCTCCCCACCTATGTTGTCGCCCCCTCTGGTCTTCTCTACCTATCTCCGGGTACCCTTGCAGCGGCATTGGTGAGTGGCCACGTCAGCAGGCCACGTCAGCAGACCACGTCAGCAGGACATGTCAACAGGCCACAATAGCAGGACACGTCAGCCGACAGCCGCGCCACATCAGCAGCAGGGAGCGCCACGTCAGCAGTCCTTCGGCCTGGTTGATGCTCACGCGCTTACGAACAGCCGACATGGATCAAAAGTCCGGGGAAACGGCCGAGGCCTATCAGGCCCGGATGCTGGCTTTGATTACCGAAGCCAAGAAACGGGCGGATGAGGTAGCAGTCGCAGAGAAAAAGAAGGCAGAGGATGTTGAGAAGGCACGTCTGTTGGCAATCGAACAGCAGCGCCAGCAAGACGAGGCAGCAGCAAGGGCTGCCGATGAAGAATGAAGTCAACGACGCGAGAAGATATTCAACGGAGAGCTAGCCTTGCTCACAATGGCAGCGGACTGGAGAGTCGAGGCCGAGAATGGTAAGATGGAAGAGAGTGAAAGCAAGATCGCTCTACTCCTCTCCCATTTCACGGATCTCCTGGCAACATGCATTGCACAACAGGAGGACATCCACAGCCTCGACGACGCGGTTCAAACGCACAATTAGGCGTTTGACCAAGTCAACAGCCACCTCCAGCAGCTGGAGCAACGACCCGTCACCGCCCCTGATGCTAGCTCCTCCAACACCTCCGCTCGCCTCGATACTTCGGAGATCGACGTCGGAGCCCTCAAGGACGACGCGTAGTAACAACAAACCACCACGCAACAACTAGAGCAGCGGTTTTGTGCTGCTGCCGCCAACCCGAGCTCGACACCACGTGAGACAACTCCAAAGTTCTATGGTCAGGAGATCTTCTGCGATTTGACGAAGGCGGACCCGATTCCGTGGTTCCGGAAGTTCGAGCTCAAGTTGCAGCTACACCACATCAGCGAGGACAAGCATCACACGTACTTATACTCCCGGTCGGGGGGCGCGTGCCAAGCATGGTTGCATTGGTTGGACAATCTCTTGTCCAAGTACGGGGTGGTAGCTGCCGACTTGTACACCAAGATCAGTTGGGATGATCTAAAGGCGGTGTGGCATAAGTGGTTCCAAGTAGAGCCGGCGGAGATCAAGGCAATGGACAAATTGCTGACCTTCGAACAAGGCATGCTGCTGAGTGTTGACTGGATTGCCGAGGACCAACACTTGACATCCGTCCCAGGCATTCAGATGGGCTTCAAGGCCATCAAACACTACTTCATCACGAGGTCGTGTCCGGCGTTGGGCAATGCCTTGACTCACGTCGAGGACATCCTAACGACAATGGCAGAGCTCTTCAACAAGGCCGCGCAGATCATTGTCACGAACAAGGAGGCTAAGAACCTCAATCGTTCGTCTGCGGCAGGCCCGAGCAGAGATCAACATCGGTCTCTTCGTACGGAAGAAGAACAAGGATCTACGATTGTGCATCAACTACCGCAAACTCCTCCCGAAATGGATGGGGCCCTGGCCAATCATGGCACCCACTAGGGATGCACCCGAAGGACCTTCCTTCACCATTCAGGTGCCTGCCCACTTGCCCGTCTACCCGGTCTTTCATTGCTCCAAGTTGGCTCTTTACACGCCAGCGGAACATGACGATTTTCCCGGGCGACGATTGCAAGACCCACCCTCTATGGACGGTTTTCAAGAGGTCGGCGACATCATCTCCCAGCGACGCTACGACAACAGGCCGACCGAATACTTGGTACTCTTTGCGTAATGCACCCACAAAGTTGACCGTTGGTTGACCCGTGTGGAACTCCAAGCAATGACTCCAGATGTTCTCGCACGCTACGAACACAAGATGCAAGGCAAGCCGGTATCTTCGGCTCCACGTCGCACCCACGTCCAGGTTCCACCTTCAGATCGTCAGCTTCGCCCCCTACCCGGCTTGACTTCATAAGGAGGGGGGGGTGTTACATGCTGTGCCTGCAACATGCTGTGCCTGCAACATGCTGCGCCTGAAATGAGGGCCATTTTCAGGCCCTGTGTTGTTTTCAGCCTAAAAGCCTGAAAACAAGGGCCTACAGGCCCTGTGTCGTTTTCAGCCTAAAAGCCTGAAAAC